TGCAGCGTGGCGACAAGGCGGCTCGCCTCGCGCGGTTCCTCGCGGACCGCGACTGGCGCCGCGCTGGCCACGCGCAGCTCGAGGGGCTGCCCGCGCAGCGCTGACCTCGACGAAGGGCGGGCTCGGCCACGAGCGACGATCACAACTCCAGAGTTTTAACTCCAGATCACAACTCCAACGACGATCGCTCTAACGCATGAAAAACAAAGTTCAAATGTTTCGTCGTTTCCTAAGCAACACGCAAGAGTGACCCTGGGCAAGAGTGCCCTCCAGTGCGCGGCTTTGTGGGCGCCGCGGCGAGACCAAGCGCAAGCGCGCAAGGCGCTACTACCGCATCGCGTTCGGCGATCGGGGTACCCCAGTGGGCTCGCACCGAAGGTCACTCCGGAGGTCACTCTTAAGCGCAATCGATTGGAAGCCCTCGCCGGACCCTGGGAGCGTCCACAAACGACGAAGGATGAAGAACCGGTCTCAGGGGAGAGATCTGGACGTCCTGGGATCCACGTTGCGAAAAATCACTGCGTCGGAGTTCTGGGGTCCGCTGGGGACCGAGGATCTGGGTCTAAATGTTTCTTCGAGCTTCCTCGGGGTCACGGCCAGATTTTCGACAGCCACGATCGAAACGAACATTCCCAGATCCATCGGGAACCCCAGATCGCGGGCGTTTTTTTACTCTGGGTTTCGACGTTTGGCCGAAGGGTGGGCGGGCGGGGTCTGGGTCTGGGCCAGTGCTTAGTCGATCTGCTTTACCAGTCGCGCAAGCAGATTGGGGAGGAAGGGGTCCTGACCAGTCGCCAAAAACAGCCAGGATCTGGTCCATGGAGGGGGGAGGGGGAGTCCAGGGGCCCGAGCCGATGGGCGAAACAATGAATCCGCCCTGCCTGTCGGCGTGTGCGAGGGGCTTGTCTGTTCGAGTCATCGTCTCCGTCAGTCGTCGTCTCCGTCGTCCCCTTTCCATGCACCCTCATCCTCCAGCCTGTCAGCGAGAGAAGAACCTAGCAATGTCGTAACCGAATAGAAGGGCAACTCCTTCTCTTTGATCCCTTCCCCGCCGAAGGGGGGGTCTAAAGGGGGGTCCCGGGGGGGGTCGCCACCCAGATACGCGTTCCCCCCCGGAGGGGGGGACCAGATACGCATCCCCCCCCCCCCCCCGGGGGGCCCAGGGCCGCCAAAATTACCAAGGCAGGCCAAGAGTGCCCCAAGAGGACGCTCTCCAGACTGCCCAGGAAACATCCACAAGGCCCCAAGAGGCCTCCAAGAGCGCTCCCGAGAGGGCCCCAAGAGGCAAAATGTATTGATTTGTTTTATGAATGTTTGAAAGATTTGGGCGTTCTCGCCTTTTCCGCTCCCCGCCGCTCTAGGACGGCCCAAGAGGCCCTCAAGATTGCCCCAAGACGGCCCCCAAGAGGCTTCCAAGAGCGTTCCAAAACAGCCCAAGAGGACCCCAAGACAGCCCAAAACGCTTCCAAGACGGCCCAAGAGGCCCCCAAGACGGCACCAAGAGCGTGCCCAGACGGGGGACCCGAACGGACATTTCGAGCCCTCGGCCCCGAGAAGCTCCCAGGAGGTCCCAGGAGGTTCCCAAGACGCCCCAAGAGGCTTACAAGAGGCCCCCAGGAAGCCCGAAGAGGGAGGCTCCCAAGAGGCCCACCAAAGGCCCCCACGAGACCCCAAAATTCCTCCCCAGAGGCCCCCGATAGCTTCCCCAAGAGACCTCAAGAAGCATTCCTGGGGATTCTGGCCCACTTCAGCGTCGTCGTCGTCGTCGTCGCTGCCGCCGCCGCCGCCGGTGTCGTCCCCCTTCAGGGTCGGAGGCGCCGGCCTTCAGGCCTTCGCAAAAAAACAAACAGTGACCTCTCTGACGATATGTTTTTCAGTCGGGGCGTTTATTCTATCGGCCCCTGGGGTTTGGCTGTCGGGCCTCGGCGCAGACATGGATCCGGGGAGAGACTGGCCCCGCGTGCGGGGCCGGGACCGTCTTGGGGCCGCCCACCGCACATCAGATCGGCGGATGTCCGGGGATCTGGGCTTCTGGCCGTTTCATAAGGGGCTTCCTCGTGGCCACTGCTGGTTTCGCTTCGAAATTCGCGCAGGGATGCACCGCCTGAGGGGTATAGTTATGTCGGGCGTGTCCCCCTACAGGGGGATTTTCGACGAAAAATAAAGAATACCCCCAAAATACCCCCAAAAGGTAAAAAAATAACCGAAAAATAGTCCCCAGACTATTTTTGCACTATTTTTTGATCATGTTTGGGGTATTTCTTATTTTTCGTCGAAAAATCCCCCTGTATGGGGGGCAGGCCCGACTTCAGGGTACGGGGGGCTGGCTTTGAGGGGAGGAGGGCGCGGACGCCTCGGGCGACGGACGTCTCCATGCCCATGCCCTTCGGGGATGGACAGACCTCCCTTTAGTAAAACGTGGTTTAGTGAAAACGACCTGAGGCCCAAACCTGGCGGGCGCAAGCCTGGAAAATAATGGCCGCGACGCCCTCTCGAGAACCGAAAACGGACAATTCACTAATCGACGTGTCACTGTTGGGGGTTCTGTCCACCCCGGAGCCCTCGCGGCCTGGACACCGAGGGGCGATCCCATGGCTGCGCGGTCCGGCGGCTGCGTCGCTCCGCGCGGGGCATCCGCGCAAAGAAGCCGCCCTGTACCCGTGGGGCCGCGGCCGCGGAGTCCAGACCGCGAGGCCGTGGCAACGCGTCGAGAGTAAAATCTCTCCACGCCGGCCCTGCGCGCAGCGCCGGGGGCGGGGACCGCGCGGATCTCGAGGAGGAGGAGGAGGAGGAGGAGGAGGAGGAGGAGGAGGAGGAGGAGGAGGAGGAGGGGGAGGAGGAGGGGAGGGGGAGGAGGAGGAGGAGGGGGAGGAGGAGGAGGAGGACGCACCCCAAGCAAGCCGACCACAGAATCCCCAAAATGTCGTGGGGACCCACCAAGATTCTCGGCTGGCGCCCATCTGCTTCCCCACCCACGACCTGAGCTACGACTGGGCCTCCGGATCCCCACGGGGGCCTCCGGACGCGTCCTGCCAGAGGCCCGAGGAGACCTCTCGGGGCCCGGCCACGGAACGCGCGCTGCGGCACCCCCGGGATCGAGAGAGAGAAGCGCGCCCGCCGCCAGCCTCGTGGCCCGTGGCGCCGGGAGGCTTGGGAAGGTCACAGGCTGGTTTGCTTCCGGGTGGGGGTCAAGTTCGGGCCTCGGGGCCATCAGACAAAACGGCTCGGGATCAAAGGCCGGCCCCGGGGAGGGAGAGCCGGCCCTGGGGAAGGGATGAGCAGCCAGTCCTGGATGTGGCAGGGCCGACCTACTTATCAACCTCGACCGTAGAGGTCATGGGGCCCACGCGTCAACAAAAAGCTGTGCGCCAGGTGTCTGGGGACCTGGCGTGAATGAAACTTACCACGGGAGTGAGGCGGATCCTGGACCAGGCGGGATACCCCAAGATCGGCTTTTCGTCCATCGGAGGGCCCAGGGGGGGGCCCCATGGAGACCGACAACTGCCACAAAACGTCGGCCCCCTGGGTCTCTGGACCTCCTTGTCTTGGCTGAGAAGAACCCTCGAGATCCGCCCAAGACCTGTCGCCAGACCACTCCTGGGTTCCATCCGCGCCAGTTTCGCCGAGCTGCGTCCACCCGTTGCGGCGAGCACCTCCATGGACACGCCCAAGCACAACTGCAAAACGAAGGCACCGTCGTCGCCGACGACTCCTCTTGGGTGGCGAGCTCTCCGATGAGCTCCCCACCTCTGCCGGACCTCTCCTGCGCCTGCCTCGAATCGGGCGGGCTGGGCTTCTGTCAATCCTGGTGGACCTTAGGGGCTCCAAGCCCCTATCCTTCCACCATGCGGTGAGGCTTTCGGAGGTTTCGAGGTCACCACGCAATCTTTTACCGCACTGCTTTCGGCCCTCGGAGGCCCCAGTCGCCTGAGACATCCTCGGAGACCGACCCGAGTCCCAAAGCCGAGCGGCCATCTCGGATCCCCACTGACTCACAACACGGTGCAGCTCGCCTGGAAGTTCACCTGGGGGGGCACCCTGGGCCACCTCCTCGTGACCGCTGTTTCGTCCTGTATTGTTTTGTTATGGTCGCTGGGCGCGGCGATGGCACAGACGCCGAAAACGATGAAAAGCCTCCGTCTTGATTTTTGTTGTTCAACGCGCTCAAAGTCTGAGCGCACATTGGACTAACACACGTCCTGACAACCCCCGAGAAACGTCCCTCGCTCGTCGAGGAACAGACAACGGCATAACCATAATTTCTCAAGGGTCCGCGCGGATTTCTTGGATCTCCGCTGGACCCCTCTCTGGCGCGCGGAACGCGCCACGAGCGGCGCTGGAGGTGCCGCCATGTAGGGGCCTCGGCGCAGATCCCAGAAACCCGCGTGGAGCTCAGAAAGTTTATGATGATGCAGCTTTTTCCTCTTCGACTGAGGATTTACCAGCCTGGAACATATCCCTATCCCTATGCTGGGCATCTCCTCAGCACGATGCCAATCTTAGGGAATCCCTTATTTTTTGAGGGCGCATCCCTAAGATTGTCATCGCCTTCTGGCGTGCCAATCTTGGGGATAGGGATCAGATCGAGGCTGGTAAAGGATCACCCACCAAGCCCCGAGGGAGAGAGGAGGAGGAGGAGGAGTAGAAGGAGGAGGAGGAGGAGGAGGAGGAGGAGGAATTACAGCCTTCGCGTAGCGAAAAGGAGGAGGATTAGGAGGAGGAGGAGGAGGAGGAGGAGGAGGAGAGACGACTCTCGCTCCGTCCGCTCGCCCGCGGGACCGGACGTCCGCCAGGGCCTCCGCGGCGCGCCTCGCGGGCGGGGCCTCGGCGCCGCCGCCCTCCGCCGCGCCGGCCTCCACGGCCCGCAGCAGGGGCCCTAGTAACCAGCCTCGAACGTATCCCTATCCCTAAGATGGGCGAGCAAAAAGCGAGGACAATCTTGGGGACAGGCCCTCAAAAACTGAGGGAATCCTTAAGATCGGCATCGAAGTGAGGTGATGTCAAACATTGGGATAGGGAGATGTTCCAGGCTGGCAACCCAGGCCGAGCTCGCTGCCGTCGATGAGGCACCAGGCCGGCTGCCGGGAGCCGTGCAGCAGGGCGGCGGCCCTGTGACGAACCAACAACACACACCCGTACCCATAAGGGGATTGGAGAGGGCTATGGGTGCGTGTTGTCGGATGGGGGTCCCCGCTCGAACGGGAGCGTTCCCCAGGGTCCGACAACCCGCACCCATACCCATAGCCAGTCCTCCTCCCAACGACCCCCCTATGGGTATGGGTGTGTGTATGTTGTTCGTTCGTCACCCTGGGTCATCGGCGGCGAGAGGTACCCGTCGGTCGGAAGAAGCGGATAGGAACAGGAAGCGGGAAGGCGTTGAAAATAGGTTGGGCTTGCACCCGCCCCCTGAAGAGGAGGGATAAGGGAAAACCGCTGACCCTTGAAGTAGGGCGGCGCCTAAAAGAGATTGGGATGCAAAAATCCAACAGTACCTGCTTTCAACGACCGGCGTGTACGGTTGGCGTTGAAAAGGATGGCGTGCAACATCGATCTCCGGAAAGCACGCTATCCCTGTGAGGCGATTCCCCGCGGATGCCCCCTCTGTGCACGCCTTCCCCCTGCCAGAGCTTCCTTGGCGCACGCTATCCACAAGGACGGAGGCGAATGGCTACTGGGGCTGAGGGGTTCGGAGGCAACTCCTGGGAGGTCTTCGTAAGAACAACGCTCAAGGGCGATGAAACCTGATGTAAAGTACCATCAAGCCAGATCAGTCCTGATTAAGCCCAGAATTACAAGCCGGATTGGACCGGATAAAGCAGACTTCAGCCCGATTGAGTCGAATTGAACGGGGTAATGTGAAACTAATCAGAAGTGTGCCGCACTACGCTGGTTTTTTCGACCACGGATATAATAGCGCCGACTCTGAACCGAACCTCCCAGGACTTGCATCCGAAGAGCGGTAACTATAGACAGGCCCGAGCTAGAGACATCGAATAGCATCGCAGACGGCCCTGATAGGGAGGGGACCCGCTCAGACGGGGGGGGAGCACGGAGAATGAATCGGAGACACGTCAACGCCAGATCGGCCAGGTGTCCTCGATGGCGCGCCCGTAGGCTCCTGGGCGGGATGGGCTGTCGGGGCCCCATCGGCGCCAAGCGGGCGATTTGGGGGTCGATGCAGTTCCCCCTGAGCCTATCTCCCCGAACGTCCCGGAGAGGGGCGCCTCTCCACCCCAGGCCGCGAGGCGCGCAGCGTGATCATCTCCGCGCCCCTGGGGATGACCCAGACTCCTCCTCCTCCTCCTCCCCCTCCTCCTCCCCCCTCCCTCCTCCCCCTCCTCCTCCTCCTCCTCCTCCTCCTCCTCCTCCTCCTCCTCCTCCTCCTCCTCCTCCTCCTCCTCCTCCTCGTCCTGCTGCTCCTCCTCCTCCTCCTCCTCTCCTCCTCCTCCTCCTGCCCTCCTCCTCCTCCCCTCCTCCTCCCTCCTCCTCCTCCTGCTGCTCCTCCTCCTCCTCCTCCTCCTGCTGCTCCTCCTCCTCCTCCTCCTGCTGCTCCTCCTCCTCCTCCTGCTGCTCCTCCTCCTCCTCCTCCTCCTCCTCCTCCTCCTCCTCCTCCTCCTCCTCCTCCTCCTCCTCCTCCTCCTCCTCCTCCTCCTCCTCCTCCTGCTCCTGCTGCATCCTGACGTTGCCCCCGAGGGCAGGCCAGAGCTGCCGCAGGTCACCCCGCTTCGCGCGTCGCGCCCCGCGGTGCGCGCCGCGCGATATTACATCACACACCATCAGGGGTCGAGATATCACAGGCCATCCCCCCCCCCCAAGTGGGCTGAGCCCCAGGGCACCACAGGCCCCTACCCCCAGATGGGATGGTTAGAGGCCTCCTAGATGGGGTCGGAGTAGATGGGGTCGGAGGATCGCGCCGCATCGCCGATACATCGGCAATGCATCGGCGATGCATCGTCGATGCACTGGCGATGCATCGTCGACGTTGGCAATGCATCGGCGACGCCGGCGCGGAGAAAATCGGGCTCCGCATCGAGCCGCATCGGCGATGCATCGGCGGTGTGGCGCGATCCTCCGACCCCATCTACTCCGACCCCATCTGGGAGGCTTAGAATGGTGGGGGACGACGACGACGGCGACGACGACGACGAACCACCCAACTAGTACAGCAGTATATGAAACTCGCCCCCCCTCCCCCCCATAGCATTACAGCATACAACATGATACGATCCATATGTCTAGTACAGGCCTCGAGCCTCGAGCCCTGAACGCTGGGGGTCCGGGGGTCGGTATCGCCGTGCACTCGTGTGGCGCCCCCAGGCCTGGAGTCCTCGTCGAGCCTCAGCCACCCGTTCGAGGGGACCCCCGCGATGAGCTGGCCCTCCCTCACCTCGGGCCGCGGTGTCACCCAAGAGGGCATGGGGAGAAGGAAAGAGGATGAAAAGGAGGGAGGAGCACCAGAAGGGAGAGAGATGAGGATGAAAGGAGGAGGCGGAGGAGGGAGGGAAGAGCAGGTTGAACTTCAGAGCCCCTTGGGGCTTCAGCTTGAACGCGGCCGAGAGGGCTGGCTCGAAATCTCCCGAGCTCGACTGGCGACCTCTGTTGCGGCCGCGATCGTTTGCGTATACGTTTGGTCTCGACGTGGCGCCAGGCTGTCTCTGCGGCGCGCGTGACTTCTCAAAATACGAGCACCCCAGCGAATTCGATGTCGGTGTTTTTTTAGCTCCACGCTCCAGGCCTCCACATCCCCGATGGGCAATTACACTCGCCGCTGCGGAGGGGGAAGCAGCGAGCAAGCTCCGACCCCTCGATCGGAGCTGCCCGAACAATGGACATCCACACCCTCCTCAGGCCTGGCGGTCTCTTCGCCCTGCTGGCGAGGTATGCAGGCGAGTTCAGCGTCGCTCGAGGGTCGAGGGAGCCGTGGTGCGCGGAGAGGACGCCCTCGGGCGGGCAAGCCGCAGGGACCCGAGAGGGGAGAGGACGGCCCCGGAACCAGAGAGTCCCGCAAGGGAGGGCCCAGGGGGTGGCCGCAGGCGGAGGCTCCGCCCCCGACAAGGGGACGGAGCTCCCAGCAGGAGCGACCACGTTACAGTCAGCCCGTGCAGCAAGGATGCGCGATTACGGAGGCAAGGGCCTTGGACGCCCATTTCGAAGCTTTCGAGCGGGGCGCGACGAGCGAAGGCGGCCAAGGATGGGCCGAGAATGCAAGGATGCAAAGGTACCCTTGGGAAGGTTGTCCGTCCTTACTACAGTCGGGGCGTTGACCTAAGGAACCCTAAATAAGGAACGAGGCCCCTGTTTTTCCATAAGTTAAACTTCGATTTTCCGATCGAAAACACAAGGAAAACCTGAGGCAAGCTGTGAAACACTTAGGGAACGCGGAGCCCCTCCCCAACGAAAAGGGTTCCTTCTTCACGGCCCCGACTGTATGCGGGTTGACTGTACCTCCTCCCCCTGTCCAGCGGCGAAGGCGAGCTCGATCTCGGCGAAGGAAGGTTGGTCGCCAAGTCCGGGGCTTGAAGAGCGAAGGCTCGAGCTCGTCGGCATCGAGCTCCCTGGTCCCTGAAGAAGCCCATGCTGCAGGTTTTTTTTTCGGTGGAGGAGGAGGAACGCCAGCAACCATGAATGGAGCGGAGAGGTAGCCATGCATCTAGTTGGAGTCGGAGCGGTGCAGGAGCAGCAGGCAACGACGGCAGGGAGCCGTAGGGCTGCCCAAATCTGATTCGCAGAGGTCGGTCAGGTTCTCCTCCCCTTGATGGCAGAAGCTCGTGTTACCTAAAATGATGGACTGTGAGGTTACTACCCAGTGCTCGGACTCCAGTGCGCCTGAAGGCGTGCGCCCCTGGGCGCACGGGGCACAATCAATATCCTCTTTATGCTGCGCTTGTGAACCGAAGACTCACAGGATGTACAGTCGGCCCAGATTAGTAGGTCGACCCTGCCAAATCAAGGATACTCTTGTGTCCTGTGTCTCGGGACCCATGCTTCCTACATTCCTGTGGCAATGTGGCCCTCGGAGGGGTCTTGTGTCCTCTCGCGAGTCCTATCCATTCGAGTCCGACTGTAGCTGCGCACCTGAATTTAGAAGAAACAACTCGCCCTCCCTGTCGGGCGAACGCCTTGGAGCTCATGACGCGGTCGAGGGCGACGTTCCAGCGCTGGACGTCTCCAGCGCCGATGCACGCGACCTGTCCACGTGTACAGGTGCAGGCCAGCCAAACTTGGCTTTCAACGGTTGGCCCCACCGGGGCCGTTCACCAAACTCTGAGGCGTCCACGTGGAAGGAGTCTCCTGGTGTGAGCCGGTTGAATCTGGCGGGCTTTGCTTTGACATTCGTGGCCTAAGGCCTCGTGCGATTGAGACTCTAGTTGGTGAGTCTACTGAGCAACTTCACCTAATGAAAATAGTGGTAGCCACGATTGCCAAGGCCAGGAACAATACTTGGCCAGGTAACGGCGTGGTCTGGATCATGGTTTCTGCGACAGTCCATTTCCGATGCGGGCTACGACAGCACAAAGAGGTTTCTTCTGACAGCTAGCAAACCGATTCACAGACCAATCTCGCCTACAATGCCGTGCCGCACCACGACGTTACTGGTCCCATCGTTTCCCCGCCTTTGGTATTACAACGCGTCCGGGAGGTCATTCATAGAGCGAGCCATGGAGCCTTGAAGAAGCGTGGGGATCGTCTTGGGATCATTATGATGATCGCTCACGTGTCGCGGGCTTGTGGACTCAATCCGTCAGAGGTCAAGCCTCGATCCTCTATGCACATGTCGAAAAGGCGTGAGAAGGCACAACACACCACCGCTTGTGGGTATGGGAAGATTTGCACCATCACGGATTGATGAAGACGGCGCAGGCGGCACATCCAGATTCCAAGATGGC